GTGTGTGTGTGTGTGTGTGTGTGTGAGTGAGAGTGTGTGAGTGTGTGTGTTCCATCTGTAGGGAATTTCTAGGGAGTTCCTAATCACTTAATCACTCTGTTTTTACATCCGTTCATCCATCTGTGACAGTGGCACCCGCTCCCAAACCCCCACAATTCTCTCTGCTGCTGCTCTTATCACCTCAAACAGACCCCGGCGAAAACATCCCTCTCACCCTGTGTGTGTGTGTGTGTGTGTGTGTGTGTGTGTGTGTGAGAGAGTGCGTGAGTGTGTGTGTGTGTGAGTGTGTGTGTGTTCCATCTGTAGGGAATTTCTAGGGAGTTCCTAATCACTTCTGTCCTCTGTTTGTTGGCACACAGAAAAGGGCACAGACACACATTATCTACAGATACAGCATCACACACACACACACACACGCAGTCCCAGAGGAACATTTGATATGCTCAGATGTTGCTTTCATAGTTTATTAATTAAATACCATTCAAAAGTCTAGAATAATTAAGATTGTGTAATGTTTTTGTCTCTTCTGCTCACCAAAGCTGCATTGATTTGCTCAAAAATACAGTAAATATGTGATAAAATGTATGTGATATAATATGTTAAACTGTAATTTATTCCTGTGATTAAAGCTGTATTTTCAGCATCAGTACTCCAGTCTTCAGTGTCACATGATCTTCAGAAATCATTCTAATATGCTGCTCATGAAACATTTATGCATTTATGATATGTTGAAAACAGTTATTACTGTTTTTATCCATTCCAGACAAATCCATCTCCCCTCCACTTCCTCATCCTCTCATCCTCTTTCTGATCCAGCAGCATTCACAACCGTTACTACAGCACTTGAACACTGGTTAATAACATTTACAGCAACAGTGAGGTTTAGAAAAGCTGTTCTTGACCCGAATGTCATCTCTGACTGGTTCACTGTCCATTTCATCCCAACACAATCATTTCACGACATCTTTATCAGTTAAATAAATGCATATGCTGCTGTCTGTCTGTGTGTTTTCTTTTGCGGTGGAAAATTAAATTGTGACTTTCAGATTGAAAGATTGAAAAATTAGTAGATTAAGACGAATTTCTTTTGATCAGCCTGAATTGTTGCCAACATTTACATTTGCATTTATTCATTTAGCAGATGCTTTCATCCAAAGCGACTTACAAATGAGGAATATTACAGCACGAGGGATTCATCAGCGGGAGACGGTAGCAGTAGAAATACTGCGGTAACATACAAGTGCTGCCATGAATCTCAGCGTATTCCCTTCATAATAATATGAAGCACAGATGACGACAACAACACAAACCAGCCGTCTGTGGCCTTTAACACAGACACACACTGTGAAACCATCATATTTATTCAACTTTAATAGAGTCTTTAGAATCTTCTTGAGCTTGAGAAAAACCTTATTGATCAATATTTCAGCATAACCTTACGATATAACAGTCCTGCGGTTCAAAACACAGACCTGTATACTGTATAGAAAAATAATACGAGAATAGTCTGCAATAATGGCAAACATTAGCATATTGCTGCATGGTTAATTTGGTCATTTGGATTCTTAATGCTTTTTAAGGCATTATGGGCAAAAATGTTGTTTTTTTCATGCACTGGTCAGTTTTTGGGCTAATTTGTCTTATTTCAGACTAGTGGGGGGAAAAACATCAAAAACACATTTAAGTGTTTATTTTATTCAGATTTATTTATGTACATCTGTAGATTTAGTTCCAATTTAACACCTTTAAAACCTGTTTCTCAAAATAAACTTTTACATTTTTTACTTCACTTATACACACAAAACTGTACTTGTACACTGGTTTTATTCCTCTCTGTATTCTGAAGGGTATTACAGAGGGTTCTGTTTGTTGTTTGGGGTTTTATGCAACATTTTATTCCAAAAAACATGGTGAAAATGCATTTTTCCTGTTTGCTGACAGCATTTTTTGATTTATGGAGTGAGAAAAAAAAAATTCCAAAGTCCCCTCTATAAAAATCTTTATCCAATGTTCGGATCTCTGTTCTGGAAATGCATGCATATTACTGCATATTTAATTAGATAATGCATTGTTTGCATATTTCAACTTGTAATACAAAACATCTGTATTACTGTAATGTGATTAATCAACTAGCGAAGTATAGTCATTCAAATTTTTACCTTATTCACCTGTGGTGTTTTGCCTTAATATAAACATCTGCATCTGTAGATTTCAATTCCAATCCAAATCTTTAAAGGCTGTCAGTTTTTCCTCCATTTCAGCAGCGCTTACGTCAAACTTTCCAGTTGTATTCCTATCTACATTCTGGAGCGTTTTAATGAGGGGTTTATATATCATAGATCATTTGCTTGGTTTATGTTGCATTTTATGCCTAAAAACATTGTGAAATGTATTTTTTCTGGCTGTTGACAGTATTTTCTGATTTATAGAGTAATAAAAAGAGAAATCCAAAATCACTGTAATAAGTCAACAAAATGAAACAAGAAGTTTTAATCTGGATCTATCCAATGTTCGGATCTCTGTTCTGGAAATGTATGCAAATTAGTGCATCGTTAATTAGATAATGCATTGTTTGCATATTTCAGCATAACAATGCAGGATACTTGTAAATCAAAGCAATGATTAATCAACTAGGGAAGTATGAGGAACATTTGATATGCTCAGATGTTGCTTTCATAGTTTATTAATTAAATACCATTCAAAAGTCTAGAATAATTAAGATTGTGTAATGTTTTTGTCTCTTCTGCTCACCAAAGCTGCATTGATTTGCTCAAAAATACAGTAAATATGTGATAAAATGTATGTGATAGATTATGTTAAACTGTAATTTATTCCTGTGATTAAAGCTGTATTTTCAGCATCAGTACTCCAGTCTTCAGTGTCACATGATCTTCAGAAATCATTCTAATATGCTGCTCATGAAACATTTATGATTATTATCAATGTTGAAAACAGTTATTACTGTTTTTATCCATTCCAGACAAATCCATCTCCCCTCCACTTCCTCATCCTCCCTCTCTCTTTCTGATCCAGCAGCATTCACAACCGTTACTACAGCACTTGAACACTGGTTAATAACATTTACAGCAACAGTGAGGTTTAGAAAAGCTGTTCTTGACCCGAATGTCATCTCTGACTGGTTCACTGTCCATTTCATCCCAACACAATCATTTCACGACATCTTTATCAGTTAAATAAATGCATATGCTGCTGTCTGTCTGTGTGTTTTCTTTTGCGGTGGAAAATTAAATTGTGACTTTCAGATTGAAAAATGATGCTCTTGGTAGATTAAGACGAATTTCTTTTGATCAGCCTGAATTGTTGCCAACATTTACATTTGCATTTATTCATTTAGCAGATGCTTTCATCCAAAGCGACTTACAAATGAGGAATATTACAGCACGAGGGATTCATCAGCGGGAGACGGTAGCAGTAGAAATACTGCGGTAACATACAAGTGCTGCCATGAATCTCAGCGTATTCCCTTCATAATAATATGAAGCACAGATGACGACAACAACACAAACCAGCCGTCTGTGGCCTTTAACACAGACACACACTGTGAAACCATCATATTTATTCAACTTTAATAGAGTCTTTAGAATCTTCTTGAGCTTGAGAAAAACCTTATTGATCAATATTTCAGCATAACCTTACGATATAACAGTCCTGCGGTTCAAAACACAGACCTGTATACTGTATAGAAAAATAATACGAGAATAGTCTGCAATAATGGCAAACATTAGCATATTGCTGCATGGTTAATTTGGTCATTTGGATTCTTAATGCTTTTTAAGGCATTATGGGCAAAAATGTTGTTTTTTTCATGCACTGGTCAGTTTTTGGGCTAATTTGTCTTATTTCAGACTAGTGGGGGGAAAAACATCAAAAACACATTTAAGTGTTTATTTTATTCAGATTTATTTATGTACATCTGTAGATTTAGTTCCAATTTAACACCTTTAAAACCTGTTTCTCAAAATAAACTTTTACATTTTTTACTTCACTTATACACACAAAACTGTACTTGTACACTGGTTTTATTCCTCTCTGTATTCTGAAGGGTATTACAGAGGGTTCTGTTTGTTGTTTGGGGTTTTATGCAACATTTTATTCCAAAAAACATGGTGAAAATGCATTTTTCCTGTTTGCTGACAGCATTTTTTGATTTATGGAGTGAGAAAAAAAAAATTCCAAAGTCCCCTCTATAAAAATCTTTATCCAATGTTCGGATCTCTGTTCTGGAAATGCATGCATATTACTGCATATTTAATTAGATAATGCATTGTTTGCATATTTCAACTTGTAATACAAAACAACTGTATTACTGTAATGTGATTAATCAACTAGCGAAGTATAGTCATTCAAATTTTTACCTTATTCACCTGTGGTGTTTTGCCTTAATATAAACATCTGCATCTGTAGATTTCAATTCCAATCCAAATCTTTAAAGGCTGTCAGTTTTTCCTCCATTTCAGCAGCGCTTACGTCAAACTTTCCAGTTGTATTCCTATCTACATTCTGGAGCGTTTTAATGAGGGGTTTATATATCATAGATCATTTGCTTGGTTTATGTTGCATTTTATGCCTAAAAACATTGTGAAATGTATTTTTTCTGGCTGTTGACAGTATTTTCTGATTTATAGAGTAATAAAAAGAGAAATCCAAAATCACTGTAATAAGTCAACAAAATGAAACAAGAAGTTTTAATCTGGATCTATCCAATGTTCGGATCTCTGTTCTGGAAATGTATGCAAATTAGTGCATCGTTAATTAGATAATGCATTGTTTGCATATTTCAGCATAACAATGCAGGATACTTGTAAATCAAAGCAATGATTAATCAACTAGGGAAGTATGGTAATTATCATTTTTACCCTATTCACCTGTGGTGTCTTGCCTTGATGCAAAAATATTTTTAGCACTCCAATCAAATCATTGATACAGCTTCTGTATTCACTCAAGATGAGTACATGTCATGCTCAATATATTTTATGTCTTTATGAGTATATTCTTGTACCTTGTATCTTGGGCTTGGGTTTGCCGCAGGGTTTGGTGGCGCTGACGGTGTTCGGGCAGTTAGCGTCCATCAGCGCTCGCTTCAGCATGCCGGTGCGCGTCTTCATTCCCGTGGTCGAGTCACACTCTCCCCACACCTGAAAATCATACTTACACTCACCTGCAAAAGACAAAAACCCACAACTTGATTTTGACGAGTTCAAATCCAACATAATTATACGAAACTGTCAAAAATACACTATTTTAAAAGCAAAACATACATGCATAAACAGGTTTCCAAATTTACTGTCTTAATACATCTTCCTGGTGTTATTGTGACGGATACATCAGTGCATGTTATTCTGAAAAAATAAATGTTAGTCTTCATAATCTTGAACTAGTTTTCAGCTGACGTCTCCAATTCTTTTTTCAACCATCTGTCCAAAGGAGAAACTTTTCACCATGCAATAACTCCCAAAGTTTAAAACCACATTTTTTTCTTGTTGAATATCCTGTTTCACTTGGAAAAACATCAGATTATGGAAGTAAAACAGGTTGCCGGCTACACAAGGGAAAAGAAACCACAACCCATACTACATTAAATACAGGTTCACTTACAGTGAGGTTTGTTTTGCGAGGTGAATTATTGGCTGCCAAGAGCATGAGACCATCAAAATGCAATTTTACACGATAAACAATTTAGGTAGTGTTGGGTTGGCACTCGATGGCTAATGTAAAATCGGGATCCTGAAGCAAAACCAATTGCGAAGCCCTGATCTATGCTCTCGTTCCTTTATCTCTCGTCTCATTTCATCTTTCATTCTTTCTGTCCATGCTTTGGAGTGATTTCTCTCAGTCTCTGCCGGAATGGATGGGGGTTAAACTGCTTCAATCAAGCACAAAATTGTCTCTAATGACATATTTAAAGGCAGAGAGAATGTAATTACATGCAGCAGCCCTCCGGCTGAATGGCCGCTGTCCTGAATCGAGACCCTCAAAAATGAGGCCGGTGTGAAATAGAACCCTTATAACTCAAGAGGAAAAATTCTGCACTAGACATCAGCATTTCAACACTAAACTATTCTGACACGGCTGCTGAACTACACAGAAATACACAGAGGATTCATCACTCAACGTTTAGTGTGATCATGTTTTATTAAGTCTGTGATTTCTGATGTTCTTTCAGAGCGAGATGGTCTTGCACATTCCCAGAGAAAGACTTCTTAGAGAAAACACCCTACAGTTTCAGTGTTTGTTGATAGTTTATGTGCATACCTACAAATCCCGAGGGATGGTGGCATATGCTTTCTCTCTCTCTTTCACACACACACACACACACACACACACACACACACACACACACACACACACAAAGTGGTATATTCTGCCAGCTTGTTTCTGGCTCTCACTGCAGTCGTGTCATTTCTGAGGACAGAATTCTGTGAGAATCTCCATCCTGTTACTCCACAGTGCAGGTTTATTTACCCTGAGTCCTGTGTGTGTGTATGCAACCTGTGTTTGTGTGGCTTCTCACCTCCAAACTGCTTTTTCCAGTTGCAGGGGATTTTGCAGCGCTGGGTTTTGATGGTCTGTTTACAGTCGTTGCCGGTGCGTGTGCCCTCTCTGGTGCCCAGGCCGCAGTCACCCTCGTTAGCCACACACACGCTCCACTGCCACTCGCCACAATCCGATTTACGCTCTTTCTTACCTGTCAGAATGAGAGCACACAGAGTTTCATATTGCACCTTACAATTGTAAGTATGAGAGACAGAGAGAGTGTGTGGGTTGATACAGAGCAGTGTGAGGTGATACTCAGCAGTGTGTGTGTGTGGAAATATAGAGTGCTGAGAGGTAATTCAGAGCAGTATGAGGAAATACAGAGCGGCACTGGTAATAGAGTGCGGCGTGAGTGACAGAGCAGCATAGGGTAATCTATAACGGCTCAGGTGATATAGAGCAGTATGGGATCGTACAGAGCAGTGAGAGTTATATAGATCAGTACTGGGTAATATAGAGCAGCGTGGGTTATATAGAGCAGTATGGAGTAATATAGAGCGCGTGGGTTTTATAGAGCAGTATGGCGTAATATAGAGC